TGTGCGTGTATGTGTGTGTGTGTGTGTGTGTGTGTGTGTGTGTGTGTGTGTGTGTACATTCTATTCCAGAGCAATGGTCGTTCTTCCTCCTCGCCCTGTTTGGAAACCATCACTGACATGGCCCAACCACTTTTTATTGTGTAAAGTCAACTGTTTTCAGATGCTATAAAAGAGGTCAGAGCATGCAAAGCAAAGAGTAACAACATGCCTTCGCTTCAAAATACTTCAGAAACTATGGCAGGATGGCACCATCTCAACTATTTTAATTGTTTTGGCATATACCAAAACATGTATAATAAACTATTCATGCTCTGTCTGTCCTTCTCTCTGTCTCTCTAGACAGAATAACAGCTCACAGGAATTCTCCTAAACTTTAATACACATTTAAACAGTTTACACATTTATTAACATCTTAACCCTTTAGAGTAGCAGACTTCTTCCTCCCCTCCCGCCCCCCCATAAAACTCTTCCTTTTACTTCCAGTTCATATTCATTAGAATACTGGGGTGTTACCTTAAATACAAACGTGACACGGGGTGGAGACAGGAAAAGGGGTGTGAGGAGAAAGCTGCCTAGGTTACTGTGCTTTGTTGTGGTGGTGGTTCTTGTTTTAGTGCCAGTCCTAGCGCTTGAACTCAAGGGCTGGGTATTGTCCTGAGCTCTTTTGTTCAAGGCTAGCATTTTACCACTAGAACCACAGCACCACTTCTGGCTTTTTGCTGGCTAATCAGAGGTAAGAGTCTCGCAGACTTTCCTGCCCAGGCTGCCTCCTGAATAGCTAGGATAACAGACCTCAAGCTATAGACAATGGGCTACATGTTTTGCTTTTTTTTTTTAATTAAAAGCTAGAATCAATCTTCATCTAAGGCAAGGCTACAGAATCAAATTTCTGGATTTCAATCTTGGGTCTGCCATTCATAGGCTGCATGGGCTTGGCCAAGCTCTTTAAGCTCTCTCTGTAAGAGGTGTTCCAAGGACTACTACAATAATCACCCTAGATGGGCTGGGAAGGTGGCTCAGTGGTAGAGTGCTTGCCTTACATGCATGAGGCCTTGGGTTCAATTCCTCAGCAACACATGAGTAGAAAAAGCCAGAAGTGGCGCTCTGGCTCAAGTGATAAAGCCTTGAGCTGAAGAGCTGAGGTACTGTGCCCAGGCCCAGAGTTCAAGCCCCATGAACGACAAAAAAAAAAAAATCACTCTAGAGCATTCAACACAGAACCTTGTACAAAGTGATTATTGTCATTATCATGCCAGCACCACCAATGCCTTTCCATCCATTACCGAAAGCTTAAGTCATAAAAGAATGATAAGCCAACACTGGCTCCCACAGGTGGCAAAAATGTGCTCATGACTATCCCATTAGAAACAGCAGCCCAGAGAAGGAACCCAAAATTATTTATATAAATTTGATGGCCTATTTGCTCTGCAGGAAAAGCACCTAAAAGGACAGCTGAGCCTGGCTGGCCGCCTTCATCAGCTGCCCCAGAACTCTACACCCCCTCGCCGCCCCCTCCCAGGAACCAAATAGCCTGAAGCTCTGCCAGGGCTTTCCAAGGATACCTCTGCAGGGATAGGACAATGAAGCATCTCCTTGGTTGGGAAATCATTACCCAAAAAGCTAATCTCAGAAGGTGATCTGCCCACTCTAAGGATAAACAGGCATGACCTTGCTATGATGCACGTCAGCCAACAAGGCCCACAAGACTTTTGCTAAGAAGCAGGCCAAGTCACAGTGAGGTAGAGGAGGTGGAAAGAAAGTCTAATTTCTCTTATTCTCCAAAACTTTTTCCCTTCTTCGTGGAGAGAAGAAAATTAATACAGAGGGAGAAGGATGAAAGGGGTGACATAGTTCTAGATGCATTATACTTACAAATTGACAGCTTAAACTGAATTCCCTTTGTAAAACTACTTAAAGATAATTTTAAAAAGAAGATGATGATGGAGGAGGAAGAGAAGGAGCAGCAGCAGCAGCAGCAGCAGCAGTAGTTGGGTGCTGGTGGCTCACAGCTGTAATCCTAGCTACTCAGGAGGCTGAGAGCTGAGGATTGTGGTTTGGAGCCAGCAGCATGGGCAAGAAAGTCTACGCAACTCTTATTTCCAATAAACTACTCAAAAAAACTGGATGTGGCACTGTGGCTAAAGTGGTACAGTGCTAGCCTTCAGGAAAAAAGAAGCTCAGGGACAGTGCCCAGGCCCAGAGTTCAAACCCAAGGAGCAGCAAAAGGAAGGAGGAGGGGGAGGACAAAAATGAGGGGGGGTGGTAGGAAAAATGAATACACAAAGAACTGAAAATTGCCAGAAAACAGACCCAATCAGTTCCAAGTGAGAAAGCAAATCTGCATATAGCCTCCCCTCCTCAGAACCTGGCCTGTATTAAACAGTTTAAACTCTTCAATTGTTTAATAAAACTAAAAGCAATAAATTTTCCTCCCTCACATGCAGCTCCACTAAAATCTAGTCTCAATGAGCAGATCTCATGAAACTGCTTTGATACTTGGTACAACTTTCCTTTTGAACTTTTATGGAAAGAAAACACTGCACTTTCAATATAATTACAGTAAGTTTAAATAAAAGTAATTGCCTAGTTTACAAGAGAAATTACTTAGAAAAATACCACCAAAGCTAAAAAAAAAAAATGAATGAATGGCTGGAGGTTATACCTTGGCAATATTAATTCCTAATTATTGTCTGGCATGGGAAAATACCAGCTATTTGCCTTCAATTACCAGCAGAAACACTTTTTCAAAAGAGGTAACAGGAACAGATGGAGTATGAGGTAGCTATGTCCATTGTTAAATCACTTTCCTAGTACAAAAAAGAGCCACGTGTGGTCTAATTGTGACTTCTTGGCAACACAATTAATTTGTTCTTATTTTCCCCCTGGACCCAATGAAAAGCCACATCACTGAAAGAAAGACAGTGCTTTCAAATGGTTGGAAAAACCAATCCATAAAAGTAAAACAAGCAACAATGAAAACATTATGGAGGAACCCACAAACATCTAAATTGTAACAGGTAGTTAAAAGCAGCTTTTGCCAAAAAAGCAGGGGGACTCTACCCTGAGGCCAAGAAAAGCTAGGCATCCCAGCCTCCATTTTTGTATTACTCTTTGCTCTGTGTCTTCCTGTAGCAGCCATCCTGGAACCCAGGACTGATTGATACTGTCTTTACAGAGAGAGCTGGAGAAAACTGCCTTAAGGAAATGACCAGCAATCTGTCCTCCATAGAACACTCACCCTGAACCTGCCTGCCTGTCCAGATTGCTTCTTTCTAGCTTGGCAGTGACTTCAACTTTCCCTACAATTCCCTTCCCAAACCAGGAGGAAATAATAATCAACCAAACCACACCCCTGCTCCGATTCTCTATTTCAACCTAACATTCATGTGTGTACCCCAAGAGGAGGGCATGAAGTGCTTACATTTCCTTTTCCCATCGCACACTTGCGCCTCATAATAAAACTTGCTTTTTCTGCCCTTTACCATAACTTATCTCTTTATTTGGGGTGGTGGACTCAGAGTGGCCAAACCTGATGTGCAGAATTCGTGGAATTTGGGTGTTAGGACCCGAAACTCTGGTTTCATAACCCACACGTTTCAAGTTTAGGATGGCTGGCAAGTGGACTAACAATTCTTTTGCTTCCTTCAGGAATAGGGCTGTGTATTGCTTTTGAAAAAGGGCTTCCGGGCTCCCTTTCCAGATGAAGAACATAAATAAAGCCCAAAGAGGAGCAGGTGGCCCAAGAAAGCCAACAGCGGTGCTGTGTGAACCAGTTCGAAGCCAGTGCCCTTCCCACCACTCCTGCCTTTCCGATGTGAGCATGCAGTGTTCCCTAGGGAGGGGACAGGACAGCTGCCAACAGCAGATAGGATTATTGGAAGGTCCCAGCTGTCTTCATAAAGGTCGCACTACCAATGAGACAATGGCCAGCACCCACCTGCCTCTGTTCTGCCAACTCCCTTTCTAGCAATTCTCAGATCACCAGACTCTGAGCTCTGGTGTCTGCACTGGCCAGCAGGTCTCCCTGCTAAGAGTAAGACCCAGCAGCTGGAGCCAGGCTCCCCTCCGTCCTTAGTCAAGACCCTTGCTACCTGGGGTCTTCTCTGTCCTTTACGGTGGTGAGGCAGCCTAGGGCTCCAGCCCTGAGATATCTCAACTGTGGAGGCTTAGGAACCCACACACCCCATGCCAATACCACACCTCTCAGGGTTGGGAGCCCCTTCCATTTGTCCCAGAAAATGGCCATTTGTTGAAGGCTCCTTCCCGTGCAGGAAGAGGCACCCTTGGCTTCCAGCAATAAATAAGACAGGGTAGAATTCTGAAAGCTGAATTATGAGAAGCACGTGGACAGTGGTTCTCCACCTTCTCTCTGCCTGGACATCTAAGATGACAATGCTTCCAGAACATGACCCCTTCTCAAAGGCTTCTGAGGTCCAGAAGAAGTGTTAACAACAGCTTGTAGCCAGCAAGACCACTAGCAGCAGATCATAGAAAGATGGGCGGCAGGCTGCACATATCCCCGTACACTGGGACTTGATTGCGATCTTTTTTTTTTTTCTTTCTTTTTTTTTTTTTTTTGTCAGTTGTAGGGCTTGAACTCAGGGCCTCGGCACTGGCTGAGCCTCTTTGTGCTCAAGGCTAGCGCTCTACCACTTGAGCTACAGCACCACTTCTAGTTTTTCAGTGGTCAATTGGAGATAAGAGTCTCATGGGACTTTTCTGCCCTGACAGGCTTTGAACTACAATCCTCAGATCTCAGCCTTCTGAGTAGCTAGGATTATAGACCTGGGCCACTGACACCCAGCTTTAATGTTTTTAAAGAAGAAATGATTTGCAAATGTGTCACTGCTACCACAGTGGCCCTAGAAGGACTAACTGAAGAAAAGACTCCTTGGGCAAAGGAGCCTCTTCTAAAGCTACTAACAGACTTTTGTTTTACTAAAATCAGATTTGATCTACAGCATTAGATTTTCTTACAAGCATCTGTTGGCCAAACAAACCTTTATATTCCGCTTGGTGGATCACTGCCAGGGGCCTGGTGAATGTCTTCTTATTCTGCATCATGGCCCAGATCATGGCGGCATCCAGTGAGGTGCAAGCTTCATCAGGAGGCACGCACTGGAGAGGCAGATCAAGGCAGTTAGGGGTCATGCAAAAGTGCCTCCCCCAGCCCAGTCCCAACAATTGTCCTACGGCCCCTTATGAGACAGCTCACAGCTGCTTGCCACAGGAAAACAGGAGATTTGTATGCTTCTCAAAGAACCCTAAATTATCAGGGAGATATAGTGGCAGGCCCAGTGTATTTTCAGCTGTACTGAAAGATGCAAAATCTACTGGACAGCATATAAATCGTATCCTCCCTGTCCCCCTTTCCCACAAAACAACCAGAAGTTTTAGAATTAGTTTGAAAAGTAGAGACACGATACGAGTAATGCTGGCCCTTCACCAGGCTGGCCTCATAGAAATGGTTCATGGTAACATGTATGACAAATGTTGTGATTATGGTAAACTTCATGTATTGAGTTATGAAGGTGACAGATGTTATGTTTGCTCTCCAGAAAGATAATCATGTTGTCAAGTTTGTTTGATTTATTTTTATTTATTTTTAATTTGTAATGCTCTGCAAAAAATTAACTAAGGTCTTCTTTTCTTTCCCTGTGTTAACTCTAGCATGCCAAGCACTTAGTGTGTGCTTTGCTTCTGAGTAATATTCCTACTCAGCTCAGCTGTTTAATGTTTCAAAATGTAGGTCCTAGGATCCTTAAAATCAGGCCCTTCTAGCTATTTAAGTTCTCAAATTTATACCTGGAGTTCACTATATCTGAACAAAAATGTATGATCATACTTCAGTGCTTTTCCTTTAAAATAAATTTCATAATTGCTTCTCAGCCTTTTGGCTACGATCTCAATAATTTTCTTTACTTGTCTAAGCTCATCAGTAAGTAACACTAAAATTAACCAAGCATTTGAAATGTTTACAGCAAGGCATTCTCCAAAAGCTAACTGTTTCAGCTCTCCCAATCACAGAGGAGTAAGATGTGAGGATTTATTATTATCAAGGCTTCTCTGGGCAAATACAAACCCAAACACATATTAGAAGACAACTGTAAGCCAGGCACGGTTGTGCACACCAGTAATCCCAGCACTCAGGAGGTAAAGGCCTAAGCAGAGGAACAAGAGTTTGAGAGTGGCATAGTGTTTTGATTGTTCATGAATTCTGTGATCTTTTGCTGCGATTTACGCATCTGGGTTCAGGGTTAATAGAGGGCATTCAGTTTAGGGATCAAATTCAGTCGTGATGGGATGTGGTTTAAAAATACGGAATGCTTCATGAATTTGCCTGTCCTCCTTGCTGGGAGACCATGCTAATCCTCTCTGTATCATTCCAATTTTAGAATATGTGCTGTTGAAATGAGCACAGATGAAGAGTTTAAGAGCAGGCCAAGCTAGACAGCCAGTTCAAAGCCACTCAAGGTGAGATGCTGTCCCCCAAACCAAGTGCTGGGGCTGTAGTTCAACAGTAGAGTACTCTTCTAGAGCATGCACAAGGCTCCAGGCTTGATCTCCAGGACCAAAAGAAAAAACAAAAAACAAAAACGAAAAAGAAGACTATGATCTCATCAATTTTCAGAAAGAGAGACACAATTACTAAAAGGGTTTGCATTTTCCTTTCCTACTTTATTTTACTCTTACTGTCTATTAGTTCTTTTTTTAAGTTCGAATCAATGAAAGTGTCTCTATCTTAGTGGGTGACTCTGAGCTAGACATTTAACTCTGTTCAGTTTAACACTGGGCCTGTTTTATCCTCAAAGGGCAGTGTGGCTCTTCAGGACCTCTCCTTCAGAAACTCCTAGGTTCTTCCTATCATCACAGAAGCACTCAGAAGTCACTAGAAACTTGGAAGTATTTCCTATAAACAAAATAAATGGATATTTTTCATATGTGGACTAAAGAAATGGATGTCTGGGGGAATAACCTTGGGGAAGGCTTGCAGATCAACGGTAATCTATTTGATAGTGACAGTTTTTTCTCCTATGAAATAAGGGGATGCCATATACGTTATTAACCATATAGGTTGATTCTTTGCTTTTGAGACATTGATACATGGCTAACCAAAGTATTGAAAAGTCAGTTTACACGGTGCTTGCTACAGATGGCATACATGCACACAGGAAATTGTATATCATTCCAGCGAGTCATGGAAACAAAGTGACGGCAGAAGGTCCCTTTCACATACAAGGCCGAATCATGATGGAAGGATCAGAACTGACCCTCCAGAGAGCCCGCAGCAGCCATCCCAACCAGGTCAAAGGGTTCTGATTTCTGTTATGACAACCAAATGTACCGGGTGGAGATGGGGAGAGAAACACGAGACAAACAAAATGAGCTGATATGAAACTGAGAAAAAGTAAAATATTTGTCAGCGGCCCCTCTGAAATCCTCTGGAGACACATCAACCTTATCATCCACACAGAGGAGGTCAAAAAACAATGGGCAATCCAAGTCTCAGAGGGGGCCTGGAAAAATTAATCCTCATCCTGAGTTTGTCCTTTGGGCTTGCTGTAATTCTGGCACTGCAGACTATCTGACTGGCAGGGATAGAGCCAGGCTGCTCCCTCAATGGAAAACGGTCCTGATTTATCTCTTGTAAGGCACTATTTAAGTAGCACACGTGGATAGAAAAATAAATAAATGAAAGATCATACTGTCGGGATTTATTCTCGAAGACTCTAGAGAGCTCACAATTCCCAGCTCACCTTGGTTTTAGTCCTTCAATTAGGCAGTTCCCAAACCCCAAAACTCCAGTCACTGAGAGGACTAAATTTCCCCTTTAGATCATCGTCTTCCCCCAAAATGTCAAGAGAGTCCAAATGGATTAGGTGCTCACTAACCTTCGGCAACTTCTGGGATCCCTTGGGCTTCCTGGTACACAGAGTCAGCTCGCACTGCAGGAAGAGCAGTGATGTGTTGAACATGGGCTTGAAGACAAAGCTGAACCGCTTCTTATCCATTTGGGCTTGTGGGATGGGAAAGTGCACTCTTTTGGGACTGTAGAATTTCACCGATTCATCTTTAGGACAGATGTTCTCAATGATAGTATAATCAGACATCCTATCGGGGTTGGAATATGGAGAGATAAAGCAAGTTTGGATGGAAAATCCCAGTTCTTGGTCAGCTTTAGTGACGGACACCTAGGGAAGAACAGAAAGGTCCATTCAGAAATGACTCAGCATCCTATTCTGATTTGGGGCCTGGGGACAAGATATGTAGGACAAAGCACATAGCCCTTTGTATGTGACAGTGCCCTATTTTCCTAACATTTCTAGCCTTCCTTCAGCCTACACAGGTGCCTCTGCTCAATGAACTTTGAACTTGAAATGGATGGAAACAGTGAACTATTCACTTCAACTGCCAGCCTGGAAGTTTCAAATGCCAGATGAACAAGTCTCTTCAACCTCCCCTAAGTCCCCTAGGAGATAAAAAAAAATAAAAGCACACCATGCACCTAAATGACTTTTCCAAAATAAATAAAACACTCACAGGCAAAGACCCTAAATGCCATTAATACTGTATTAAAGGCCAAGTACTTTAAAATGTTTCCGATCTATTTACACTTCTCTCCTACAAAACATCTGTATGGCCATGTCCAAATCTTATTAAGATTCTTTTCTTTAGACACAGGAAAGAGTGATTGGCTAAGTATAAACAGAATTCAACCCTCAAGTATTCTGAACTCAGCTAAAGTCCCTGGAACAGCCTGGCTTTCCCATTTTGTGACCTGTGGATCAGCGTGGAGCTACAGCCCGGCCACCACCCCCTTCTATGTCTCATCCCTTCACTAAACTTACGATCAAAATAAACTTAAACACTTTAGGATAGTCCTTTGCCCATAGGCCAATAGCACCAAGAACGCTTGTGAGTGGAAATAGAAACAGACTTTCCATTCTGAGATGCCAGGGGAAATCCCGGCTACTGCCTGGAGCTGAGTGCATAGCACACTATGGGGAAAGTCCCTAGATGGCTAACTACTGTGGGACGCTCCACACAGAAGATGCAGAAGGATGCTCATGAAGATGATTATGATATTGTCACCTGGTGGTTACATTCCGTAAGTATTTACATCTCATTATCTGTTCACTGTTTTCTGCTGATTAAATTTGTCTGACTTGGAATATATATCCTACTCATAAAAAGTGCCCTAGAAGAGGTGGATATGATGCTTCAACCCTGTAATCCCAGTTACTCAAGAGGCAAAGGTAGGAGGATAGTGGTTTGAGGCCAGCCTGGACAAAATTAGCATAAGACTCAGTACTGGTGTGGCTCAAGTGCTAGAACACTTGGCTCAGCAAGAGTAAGGACCTGAGTCCAACCCTACTTAAAAAAAAAATTTCCTTTAACATGAACTCAGAACCTTTAAGTCAGAAACGTGTGACAAATCTTTTCTACTCTCAAATTAAAAAAAACATATATATATATAAATATGTTATATATTTAATATATTTATATATTACATATTTATAATGGCAGAATGTCTAGAGTGTCTCAAAAGGTTTTCTTGGGAAAGGAAAGTACTATCCATGAATTGGAAGTGAATTGTAGAGGGTTTATACACCTTTGAGTGAGACAAATCCAAGGAGGTCACACGCTCTGTTGCTCACACAACAGAGCCGAATGAAACACTAAGGCATGCTTCCAAGGTGCAGTTACTGGGAACATTAGTGAATTAACAGGTACATGCCATACATTTGTATGATTATAGATTTAAATCCCTAGGGTTATAGCCCAGGGCTTATGGCTCATGCCTGTAATCAAAACCAGCTCAGGCGGGAAGGCATATGAAACCCTTATCTCTAATTAGCCAGCAAAAAGCCCTAAGTGGAGCTGTGGCTTGAGTAGTAAGAACATCAGCCTTGAGTGAAAAAGCTAAAGGATCGCACCCAAGTGTGAGTTCAAGCAACAGTTACTGGCACACAAAAAACATAAATAATTAAAAATCCTGGGGTTATAGGTTAAGTTGATGATTTATTAAGCTTTACTTAGACTAAGTAAACATTCTCCTAGGAATCCAAACTCAGAATCCAAGACAAAGCATGGCTGGTTACTATCCTCTATAGTAGAATGCTTCCAGATTTTCTTTCGTATTTTAGGTATTTTAAATCAACTTGACGACTTTCTTTCTTTGTTCTTTTTATTTTGAGATGCTGGGGATTGTGTTTAGGACCTTGCACATGTTAGGCAAGCTAGGCAAATGCTCTGCTACTGAGCTACATTCCCAGCTCCAAATCAATTTCTAAATAAAAGTTTATAAAAGTTTGTCCATCTCCCAACTCTACTCAATGCTAGAAAGATTTGGCCCAGATTTCTTAGTTGAATTTGGTACCAAAATTACAGACGCTATGGAGAAGATCATAAGGATAAAAAAAAAAAAAGCTGGGGGCTGGGAAGAGCCTACCAACCATGCATTTCAAGTAAGCCAATACTGCAGGGACAGGGGAATCCAAACTATCCTGGGTAAAATACACAAGTAAGATTAGTCACCAATTAGCATAAGTCAGCAAACCATACGTTAGCAAATCGAGACACACATTTGGAAAAGAACTGACTACAAGCAAGTAAAATCCCTAAAATCCATAGCATGAAGGAAGCCACTGACCAACTGCACATATGGACTGGGAAGCCAAGAAGCCAGAGGAAAAGAGCCATGTTGAATTAGGAAAGATCTATGCTTAGAAATAGCAGGTAGAAAGCAGCATGCTTTCCCCAGCAGAGAAAGAAAAGTATACCCAGAGAAAAAGAAGCACTCAGAGAAGAGGAGAAGCAGAATGAGAACATGGCCATGAGAGTTGATGGGCTCTGTCCCAAAGCCAGTGCAGATGTAAGAGCTGTGTGCCTTTCCAAAACAGAAATATGTGCCTAGAAGTTACTTTTAACACATGGAAAAGTCCCAGTTTGGAGCTTGAGCGCGCGAACACACACACACACACACACACTGAAACAGAATTATCAGCTTTCAGATTAAAATTCAAACCAGCTCAAGAAATGAGAACTTGCCCTGAAACCAGAAGACAATAGGCTCAGTTGAAACACTGCAGGTTGTACCCAGGGAACAATGAGAAGCAGACAGCCTCGTCCCATCAGGAGAGCTGTGGTCTTTAGAACTCAATCTGTGAAGCTTGCACTGGGAGGATGTTTTTCTCCCTTTTCAAATGTCACTTTGGGGCTAAATGCCAACTGTAGCCAGTGGAGAACCCCATGGGCTGCGGAAGAACTCTATTCTGTAGTAGCTCTGTGACCTTCGCTGCATCTGTACCTCTATTTTCATCCATGTGCTTCCATAAGATGGAGCTACTATTGGTCCTGTCTCATAAGATTGTTCCAAAGTGTGAAATAATTGCTTATGATTGTATTTGGCACACTGTCCCCCGCAATTCACATAAGCTGCTTACTATCTAAGATTTTATAGTCATCCTGGATTTTTGCTATGCATGATTATTAATGCTCAATATAGGGAATCGTTTTAATACATTTATATAGATAATTAAATAATGACATAGGAAAACAATTTTCACTTAGAAGTGAATGCAATTTAAACGATAATAGGTAAGGTAGTTTGGAATGTTCCTTGGTTACCATTACAACTACTGAACTGCTACTCCCCAAATGCTAAGGCAGGTAGGTGCACAGGCCTTAACTAGTAAAATTCACACTCCACCTTTTTGTATGTGTGCTGGTTCCAGGGCTGAACCTCAGGGCCTGGGCACTGTCCTTGAGTTGTTTTTTTTTTTTTGCTAGCACTCTACAACTTGAGCTACAGTTTATTTCTGCCTTTTTTTTGGTGGTTAGCTGGAGATAAGAATATCCCAGACTTTCATGACTGGGCTGGCTTTGAACACAGATCCTCAGACTTTAGCCTCAGCCTTCAGCCTTTTTAACATTCCTCTACAAAATATTCTTTCCATTTACTGTTATAACTGAAATCTTGATATTTCCTGCTTTGGTTCAAAAGCAACCTGGAAGGTTTTTCTGAGCCTAGCCCTCAGCCAAAGCAGATAGGGCCCCAGAAGTGGCCTGCACAGGGCTCCCTAGCTAATGTCCCAAGAACTGTTAACTCAGCACTAAGCTGATAGCCCACCAATAATATTCAGCTCTTACCTCCACATAAATGTGTCCATTCTCTGCCACAGAGAAGACTCCCTGGGCGGGCACCAGAAACAGGTCTGTGTTGTACAACTCCATGTTGAATGTGATGTTTTCATTGGGCTGGTCCTGGAAGCTACTGGGATTTCCCTGCTGCCCCAAGCTGCAATTAACCTGGGAAAAAATTCCCCAAACAAAGATAAATCACAGACACATGAAGAGCGAAGGCTCTGCCGTTAGCATATGATTTTATCTTTTCACTGTACCTGATGGAAACCAACCAATGGTCAACAACCCTTTCCACAAACTACCTACTGAAACCAAACACATACCATCCAAACTTCAGGTCTGCTGAAGACAGGAGCCTCCCCTTCATCCATATCTGCTGGAAATCCATTATCGCCAGACTCTAAATCCTCATAACCATCTGGCCAGCCACTACTATCTCCAGGGACTGGACCCTGTATCACAACCTAAAACACGAAGGAAGTAGAACCATCATGAACAATTCCCCACCACAATTATTTGGTTCTACCTCACGTGGACACCCATGGAACAATTCAGATACAAATCAAAACATGATATTGTATAATCATAACTTTATGTTCTATAATCATAAATTATTTCCAGCAGTAGAAACCACTAGACACTGAAATAGAGGTGACTAGAGAGTCAATGGACTGACTCATCTAATGTGAGATAGAGTTTTCCTTGAAAATCTTTGTACTAAAACAAAAATCTAAGAAATACTATGGACTGGCTATTTGGAGGTAGCTTGTTGTTGTTGTTGTTTTATGGTGCTATACTGTGGCTTAAACTCAGCTTGGGTGCTATACCTTAGCTTTTTTGCTCAAAGCTGATACTCTCCTACAGCTACGCACTTCCAATTGTTTTGGTCATTAATTGGAAGTAAGATTCTCACAGAAACATTCCTGCCTAAGCTGGCTTCAAACCACCGTCTTCAGATCTGAGTCTCCTGAGTAAGCCAACCAGTGCCCAACTGAAGGTACTTTTATTTGTACCACTGACGATTTGTAGAAAGTCTTCTTTGAGTTAGAAGGACAGGAGCTGATGTTTCCAGAAGAACCAATCTTTTCCTGATCTTTTCTCTTACATTCCTCTGCTTATTTCTCTTTCAGAATCTTTCCGCATGCCGTATGGATACAGAAAAGTGTATGCTCTATTCCAAGACAATTTACCTTAACATTAGCGGAAATCACTGTTTCTGAGTTAGTTCTAAATAAAATGAAAAGATACACCCCAGCATATGACTCCAAATAAGACCCTATTCTCTTTCCATTTCATATGCTTAAACTCAGAACATGATGTAAAACAAAAATATAGAGTTAAAATATTCACTATAGGGAACAGAACAGAAAGAGAATGAAGCCTACAAAAATATTCAATTGAAGTAAGTACTTAGGATATTGTTTATTCTGGATATCACTATGAAAGAAAATAATAACAGAAGAAAGAGAAGGGACTTTAGATGGTCATACTATCCAGTTCTCTCCTGAAGTAATTAATGCTGACTAACTGGGGGAATAATAGTGTTTCAACTGCCAGGAAGTCAAAGGTTAATAAATGAGTTACTTGAGGAAAAAAAGGATTTTAGACAGACCAGCCTAGTTATTGGAGAAAGATTAACGGACGAGAGATGAAGAAGCTAGATTTAAGCTTAGCTCTATCATTAACAAGTCCCTCAAATATAAGGAAGTCTTGTAATGCTCCAGAGCTCAATTTCCTCATGTATGAAATGAGGAAATTGAATGAGATCATCTTGGAGTTCTTTCCAGGCCCAACTTTGTGAGGTTCTCTGGGGAACAATAAACTTGAGCCCACTGGAGAGCCACTCCTCCCCCGACCAGAGAACCTCATTACCAGCCTCTTCTCTGGACTGAGTTAAGAGCATCAGTGGGTGGGCAATGGAATGAACCAGGAGTCCCCGTCACCCCAGCCCATTGTAATGATGGAGCTGGTGCTAAGTGTGTTCCACGTGGGCACGTGCGTGTGAGAGCGCGTGCGCGCGCGCACACACACACACACACACACACACACACACACACACACACACAACCATTTCCAAGGTAGACAAATGACCTCTGAGAGTTATTTCCACCATCAAAAGTCCAATCCAATGGTCAAATTGGCCCTTCAAAAGATCCTGTGAGATACCATGTTTCAAACTTTTTTTTAATATTCACTGCCTTGTCTCGTGAATAGATTTAGATAAATTCACAAACATGATTCCTAGAAAGTGATGGTTAGCTACTGTAGTATTATCATTGGGGAGAAATGTCTAGAATCTTCCTCCAGGTAACTTCAAAAGTAGATTTTCTCCAATTTCAGAAGGGGAGAGAGAATTAGTAATTTTTGTTGAGATTCTGTTCAGATTTTAAATAATTTCTTTTTTGGATCTTTACTCCATGGGAAAAGCTTCTCACTTCTAAGCAAGACTCAAATGAGTCCAGAGAGGCCACATTTCTAGTTAGAGATTTAGGGTTCTGGTCCCATAAGGACCAGGCCATTTGACTTTGAAGTTTGGCCACGGAAGAAGAGAAGTCAATCACTTCACTGGTGAACTTGCTATCAGAAGAGACAAGAAGGAAGGGAAAACCATCACAGCAATCCCTAAGAGAACAGCATCTTCTGACTCGTGGAACCTCACCCAAGAAATCAAATAAAAGACTTCACGTCAAGGTCCATGCCATTGTGTTGAGAATGGTCACCTGGCTTTATTCAGGCCCCTCCTCCTTTCCATAGAAATAACTACTTCTAAGCAATGTCTAGCAACATTCCGAAGGGCCGTGCATGCTTCTGCAGAGCACTCACAGAGTTATAGTACACGGTGCCGTCAGGTCTTGCCCGATGTTGCCTCATGCCACAGCCATTGAGAGGAGCCTCTAAAATGAAGTGTGTGTCATTCATCTTGGCCTTACAAGCAGGATCCAGCAGGGTGAGCTCCATTCCGGAGTAGCCATTAGCCTGAGAAACAACAATCACATAGACAGAGTGAGGGATCATGGGAGTCAACACTTGTTACCTGACCTTGCAAGCAAAAGGTAGCTAGAAGTCTGCTTCATACCCCTCCCCCAGCCACCTCCTCCCAATTGACCACTAGTCAGCAGCACAACCATTGTAGTGGTCGGCCTTGGAAATTCAATAGCAAAATACTGACACACAAGGATCTGGAATCCCCCTCCCCTACCTACCCACCCACGGAGCACAACAGGAACCAGGTGAGACTCCCAGCCCAGGGAAATGGGCCCCGTCCAAGTGAGAAAACAGAGACCCCACAGTTTCTAAGCTAGGGAAATAATGAACCCAGACTGGGGTTCTGCACTGACCTGAAAGGAATCTTTCTCTATAGCCACGACCATCTTTTCACGGTCACATTTGACAGACAGGGCAACTTCCACGCTCCCTTGCACCTCTTCCGGTTCTCTGGGACCAGGATACAGTTGAATGCTGGGGACGACAGAGTCCTTGGGCCGGAGGATTCTATCTTCTCCTCCTTCCTTCCGGTCTCTCTGGGAGAGATCAGGAAAAGGAAAGGGGAGACCTCCAATTCGTCCTCCTCCCCGGAAGGGTGGGTTCTCCATAGCAGGCAGGCTGCCAGGGTCCAGCAGGATGCGTAGCTCAGGAGGGATGGTATGGACTTCCTCATCTCTCATCTCCTCTGTGGCAAGCGAAGGTAGCAAAATTCATTAGTGGGGGAGAGGGGGTAACCAGACCATAGTCATCAGTAGATGAAGAAAAGGAAGAATTAGCCTAGAATGGTTAGGGGTAAGCATACATTCAACAAGTGACTAAGGAGTCTGGAAGCCTAGTCCTGGTGTTCTAATGAGCTGAGTGGTTTTGGACAAGTGACTTGCTACTCTTGTGCCTCAGTTTCCTACTTGTTTAAATGAATGGGGTTAGATTCTATCAGTGATCCTCAACCTTGGCTACACATTAAAATCATCTTTGTAGCTTGAAAAACAAAATCCTTAGACCCTGGCTACACTTTGAGCTAACTCTGTAGGGTGGGATAGACCATTAATATGTTTTAAGCTCCCTGGGAGATTATGGTCTACAGCCAAGGTGGAGAACTATGGTGGTAGATGGTTTTTGTTTGTTTGTTTTTAATTCCCTTGGAGCTGGGTACCAATGGCTCACACCTGTAATCTTAGCTACTCAGGAGGCTGAGATCTAAGGATCTGGGTTTGAAGCCAGCCCAGGAAAGAAACATCTATCTATGAGACTCTTTTCTCCAATTAACCATCACAAATAAAAATAAAAAGCCAGAAGTGAAGTTGTAGCTCAAGTGCTGGAGTACCAGCCTTGAGTGAACAAGCCAAGACAGGCCCAGGCCAGTGGCCAGGCCGCCTTGATTCCAAACGCCAGTATGCACGTGCGCGCGCGCACACACACACACACACACACACACACACACACAGACTCTCTCTCTCTCTCTCTCGCTCTCATACACACACACACACACATACTTCCCTTTGGACTTAGAATAGTTTCTCAAAAAATTTCTTAAAAAAGTACTTGTATTTTCATTTTTATTAACTGATTTCTGTACTGCAGTATCAGGATGTGAATTCAGAACCTCTAACATACTAGGCAAGTGCTCTACCACTGAACTACTCCCACAGCTGTAATACTGGTCCTTTTGTTACTTTTCAACTATTTTTTTTGACTGTTAAATTCTAGAAAGTATCTGGATACCCTGTTCTTTTACATATATGTTCTTTTACACATATTTATTTGTCCCTTTCCATGCAAGTAATGTCCACTGTTCTTGTTATAGTTTCAATAATTTAGAGAAAAATAATATAATTGCCCCAGTATTCTCTACCTCCTATCTACCTATCTAAGGCCAACGATATATGTTTAAGATCAGATCCATCTCAGTGGAAGTTGAATATGAAGATGACTGGCAGATATGAACTCTCCTGCAATATTGTATATATATACACATGTATATATATATACATATAGATGTATATACATATATATATATTTTTTTTTTTTTTTATATTTGGCCAGCCCTGAGGCTTTAATTCTGGGCCTGGACACAAGATTAGTAGCTCTACCACTTGAGCCACAGCACCACTTCCAGCTTTTTCTGAGTAGTTTATTGAAGAGTCTCATGGACTTGCCTGCCGGGCTGGCTTGGAACTGTGATCCTCAGATTTTTTTTTTTCCTGTTCGTGGGGCGCCTTAACTCTGAGCCTCTCTTCAGCTCAAGGCTAGCACTCTACCATTTGAGCCACAGCACCACTTCCAGCTTTTTCTGCTTATGTGGTGCTGAGTAATTGAACCCAGGGTCTCATGCATACAAGACAAGCACTCTACCACTGAGCCACCTTCCCAGCCTGATCCTCAGATTTTAGCCACCTGAGTAGCTACAATTACAGACGTGAGCCACCAGCACCCAGCTAATACAAATCTTTTGAAAAGGATGTTACAATTGAATGGATCCAAAAGTGGTACAAAGTTTGGAGGGGTTTTAATGTATAAAGAATAAAACCTTTACATGTTCTGGTAAGGTAGATGCTATTATTTTCCATGTGACTACTGATGAAGAATCTGAAGCTCAGTGATTAAGCAATTTCCCCAAACAATGAATAATAATGATAATAATGAGTTAATGAATAATAATGAGCTTGAACCTGTACCCATAATCTTCATTCTATCAGCACTACACTCAATACTGGGCCCATGGGGTGAGGAACAGATCTGAGGACCAGAACTTGGGAATGGAGTCCTATTAGCTACAAGACTCTGACTCCCAGCCTCTTGCCTAAGAACTTGAGTCCCTCTCTTGCATTCTGCTCCCCTAAACCAGAGTAGCCCTTCCTCTGCATTAAAAATCCCCAGAATATGACCCCAGACCATTTTCTTATATGGCACAGCCTCTGATTACTAAGTTCTTTCCTGCAGCCCTCACTCCTCTGTATTCTCAGCCATTCACTGGTGCCTCTAAAAGAAGGAGGCAGGCTAACCAGTATCATCACAATGGGGAGGAGGACAAAACTCTTGCATATTACTGAAGAGACAGGCTAAGGTCTCCAACAAACCCTATCACAATAATAATTTTATGCCTTGTAGTTAAAAAAAAATAGTCAAAACTATTATTAAAACGTACAACAGACATGTAGTAACATCTAAGTAGAAGTGTGAGATCCTTACTGGAAAGCCTCATTCGAAGGGCTATTATTTTTATACACCAACAATAGTTTTATACTTACCATTGTTGTCAATCCGAAGATGAAATCTATTAGCCACTGGAGCCATGGTATATGAGGTTACAGGGCCGAAGCCATTGTCCAGCGCCCACTTGACCAGGTTCTCCTGGGTGGAAGGGATGTCAGCCCTGATAGACTTAGTCATGGCCATTGACCGTTCGCTCTCTTTCCCAAAGCCAATACTGTTGGGAGCCTAAGGACAATTGCAAATACTCACGTAAGAGTCTAAAAGTAAAAAGCGCTTTGAATAACCAAATTCTGAAATAAGATAGATTCTAAATGATATGTGAGGGGCTATTTTTCTTCCATCTCTACTTTCCTTGGGCTAAGAACACTAATGTGAAAATCTTTGTGGGAGAGAGGTGCCAGTACTGAATGAGGCTTGAATTCAGGGACTGGGTCCTTTAGCGTTCTTCTTTTTCTAATTTCTTGTGCTCTACCACTTGAGCGACAGTTCCACTTATGACTTTTAAGTGGTTAATTCAAGAGAAGAATTCTTACAGATGTTCCTGCCCCACAGGTTGACTTCGAACCATGATCCTCCTGAGTAGTTAGCTGGGTGATGTGAGAATACTTCACAGTAGATTAAGAGATATCTAGTCATGTTGTTTGACCACACGGTTTGGATTGCTTACATTAATAAAAAATAATGCCTGAATATACCTACTCTGTTACCATATAGTTAAAATATTTATATCATCAATACATAACACTAGATGAATACAACCAAATTTTCCTTCCTATTTTTATTTCGAATCATGCATAAAATACACATGTACGTGGTACAGTGGCATAATATTTGTGTTCTACGCCTTTTACTCTTAGATTCACATGACAATTGCTATTATCTAGTGACATTAGTGGGCACCCTAGCCCAACTTTACAAACCACTAAAGTCCACATGGCAAAACACCCAATATTTCTATTTCATCTATAATTATGAATTTATACTTGCCAAATCTATTAGTGGAATACACTTACCTTTTATGTTAAGTTATATTAGTTAAGGCTATGTTAAGTTTTGCTTATATTAGTTAAGGCTATGTTATATACTAGTTAAGGCTATGTTAAGTTTATGTTGTGTTATGTTGCCCAACTGTCAATATTTTATCAGTAATAAATGGAAGGAGAATGTTATCAATATTCATAAATGGAAGGAGGACATTATCAGTAACAATGGAAAAATGGAAATTAGACATTATTAGTAATAAATGGATGGAGGACATTAAAATCACTGGGTGATCTGTTACTATGCTAAGGTGATAGAAATATTTTCAGGGAAGGATTTTAATGGCCTGGATACACAAGGCAAAGTCTCTGTTGCCTACTGACTCTGGTGGCAGGGATCTTGTCTGAGAGAAAGGGGAGCTTAATTCTGTAAAGGGATTCCTGGAAAGACACAATTTTGTTTTTGTGCTGGTGTTGGGGTTTGAAGTCAGCGCCTGGGAGTTTTTCTCTGAGTTTGTTTTTTCGTTTGTTTCTGTCAGTCGTGGGGCTTGAACTCTAGGCCTGCACTCTGTCCCTGAGCTCTTCAGCTCAAGGCATGTACTCTACCTCTTGAGCAACAGTGCTACTTCCAGTTTTCTGGTGGTTAATTGAAGTTAAGAGTCTCACAGACCTTCTTGCCTGGCCTAGCTTTGAACCACAATCCTCAAATCTCAGCCTCTTGAACAGCTAGGATTACAGGTGTGAGCTACCGGCGCCTGGCCTGAGTTTTTTTTGTTTTTGTTTTTGTCAGTCATACGGCTTGAACTCTGGGCCTGGGCGCTGTCCCTCAGCTCTTCAGCTCAAGGCTAGCGCTCTATCACTTGGGCCACAGCACCACTTCTAGCCTTTTCTGCTTATGTGGTGCTGAGGAATCGAACCCAGGGCCTTATGCATGTAAGACAAGCATTCTACCATTGAGCCACCTTCCCAGCCCCCAGCCTGAGTTTTTAAATGAAGGCTAGTTCTCTACCACTTGAGTCACAGCTCCACTTCTGACTTTTTGGTAGTTAATTTGAGATAAGAGTCTTATAGATTTTCCTGCTCTGGCTGGCTCAGAACTGTGATCCTCAGATCTCAGCCTCCAGAATAACTAAGATCGCAGGCATGAGCCACCAGCGGCCAGTTTGGGAAGGCACAAATTTCACTATTCCTGCAACAGGGCTGAAAGGCTCTTTAGATTGCCAATTAGGCCATTTTCATGCCATACAAAAATCGCTTTCATTTCCATGCCCAGTGATTTTCTCCTGCATATGTGCATCATTTTTCCTAAATTTCTCATTTGGTTCCCATTCTATTTGCCCCTAACATGATTCAGTATTAATCCTTTCCCACTTTAAAACCACAAAAGACTCACAAGCACTAAGTTGTCTTGGCCCCTCAGGTTATGGGAGACTGGCTGAGGTGAGACACACTTCCACTTGAAGCTTAGAGGAGCTCACTGGGGTGTCTTTTTCTATTACTCAACATGCTTCGCTCAGGGAAAACCAAACAGGGTAATCGGCCACAACCCCTGCACACAGCAACCAGCTGGAGCCCTACAAGGCCTGCGGCCATTTGCAAACTCACTTGCATTGACGCAGAATGGTCTGGCATTTACTCCGATTCCAAGAAAGCTCCTTAGAGGAAAGAAAGGGTTCAAAAGAAAGAAAAACTGGGACAGGAAGAAGAGGGCAGAGAAAGAGGAAAAGGAAGAGAAAAAAGAGAGAAAGGAAGAAAAAGACAGAAGTGAAGGAAGGAGAGAACAAGGGAGGGAGGGAGGAAAGTGGACTCAAAGGATGTAAAGAAGGAATCAATTTGTTGAACATGTTGCTCACCCACTCAACAGCAGTTCTGTGAGGCACAACTCCCTCCAGCCTTCAAGGCAGCGTGTGTTTTGATTGGCTGGAATCGAAACTTTGGCCTAAACAACTTTGGTCTCATCCGCCCTAGTTGCTCATGTTGTCAGGACAGCTGAGAAAATACTGTATTTCCTCAAAACTAGCATCGCAAACTGCCACCTGTCCTGTCGTGCCAAGATGGAGTAATCTGTTGACACCTTTCCATGTGAAATCTAGGAGCTGCCATTGACAGCTAGTACTAGTTCCTATCAATTATGGCTTGGAATTTAGAAAGCTAAGACAGGTATCTAAGGAGGGGAAAGGGAGCAAGGCTGGGATAATGGCAGGCAAGCTGGCTCCCACTATCTGCAAAACCCTCATCCTATATTTCTTTAAGACCCCAGGCTGCTTTTGGGGTCCTAAAAATCCCCAGCCACAACTCCAAGAAAGATCGTGAGGCAAAGACTAAGTGTCTCCCCTTCTGCTCCCAGATTTGCATCAGAAATGATGTTATATTTTCCAAGAATAAGTTGGCCATCACCAACTGAAATTCCTAATACCACAGCAAACCAAATTAAAAAAAAAACAACTTTTAATAAGCTCTTTAAATGCTCTAGGGATTTATCCTGCTCTAGAAATGATCATATCTCATCCACAGGGAACCTAAGAGCCAGAGCTGATCATGGCGATGTGGCCATTCCTGATCCCATTTGTGGACCATTCTGCCACAAGGAAGGTGCATTCTGTCCACGGTGTGTCACCAATAAAGTCAGCAAAGCCACTCATTCTTAGTGACACTCTTATTGAAGTCTGTCTCATAAGCCCCTTACCATTTCTTTAGTGGACATTTTTTTTTTTGCTTCCACCTTGTTTAGAGCCATGCTCCCCTTGTTCCCATAAACATCCTGTTGTGGGTTTGTTTGTGGGCATGGAAGCCAGGGTCTCTTACATGCTAGGCAAGTGCTCTACCACTGGGTGATACTCCCAGACGTCACTGTTAAAGACAGTACTTTCGGAAGATGACTCCTTTTAGTTTTAGTACGTTAGTAAAGCACAGGACTCACTGCCCTACTCCCGGAGTCCTTTAACATGCTGTTGAATGAATAAGTGAGTGAACGTGGAGTAGACCACAGCAAAGGTCCACTCGTTACTGGAAGTAATGACACTCAGGGATGGGGCTAGAATCCAGCCCCATCTGGTGCAAAGCCAGGATGCTTTCCATTCTGCCATGCTGTCTCTATGGGAAATGCTAGAAGCAAGTTCTCAATAAATCACCTCTCTAAGCAGCCATGTAAGCCTTTGTCTGAGTGGGTACCTTTCCCCTGCAGCAAGGTTAGAATTCACATCCCTGAGACTGAAGGTTTGGAAATCACAAAAGCATGAAACTGATTGGGAGGATTGAAAAGAACATCAGAAACCATTACCTAATTGTTTAGTAATGTTGTCAGGCATTGTCCAAAATTGGCCTGGAACAGAAGTACAGCCAAAGAGAAGAATATAAACAGATGTTGTTTGGGATGAGCTATCCCACTGCTCGCCTCTTTGATTCATGTGAGAGACAGGGACATTCAACGTGAACTCCAGGATGGTCAGGGCCCAGGCACATAGACTCAGGAGAGGGAGAGCGGCTGAAGAGTCAGGACCGAAAGCAAGCGTATTTACACAAGAACTCCAGCTGGGAACGAAAATGTACCGTGTGTGTGTGTGTGTGTGTGTGTGTGTGTGTGTGTGTGTGTGTGTGTGTGTGTGTGTGTGTGTGTGTGTGTGTGTGTGTGTGTTGGTTTTGGGGTTTTCTTGTTGTTGTTGTTTTTTGCTTTTACAAAGCATGATTCCCTTTCCTGTTTTTGTTATTCTGAAATTAAAAACATCTGGTTGGTATGCCAGGCAGCAAAAGCAGCAGACACCCTGGGCTACCAATACCCCTCAGACCCTGCTGGCCAAGACAATCAAAACTCTCTGTGACTTCAGAGAAATCATGGCCCGGGCTTTGTGCTTGACACCAAGTGAATGGATTGCCATTGCACCTGATGGGTTACTGGGGCCCTCTCAGAGTTTAAGAAATGATTACTGTAAAATTAAGGTGTGTGGACCCCTGGCTTTACCTGCCTCTGCCCAGGGAGCAGGTGGTGTCACTCACTGTGGGATCTCATGGAAGCTGCTATGCATGCATGAATGCCAAAACCAAATGCAGCCCTTTCAAAGACAATGCATCCAGTATGCTGGCACATTCCTGTAATCCCAGCATGAAAGAAGTAGAGGCACGAGATCACAAATTCAAGGCCAACCTGAGATGCCTAGTGAGACTGTATCTCAGGGGGGGAAATGGGAAGAAGGAGTTTTCTTCAACCTTCCATCTAATTCACTGAATCCTAAATATACCCGAAATAGGATTTATTTCACCATTTTCAGGAAACTCAGCTGCTGTTTCTTATCACGCCAACAAGTCTGTAAAGGCCTGATCATCATGAAATCGAATGCTTTGAGGGAGACGTGATGTACAGCCATAATTACTTGGTTCTTCTGTTAATGTTTTGCCCTGGAAACTACATGCCAAGTCCACACCGTTAACTCCAAAGGAAAAGAATATGGCATGACCTGACAATCAGCCTAATTTCCCACATCTTCTCTAAGTGCTAACCCCAAAGGCGAATCAGACATCCGGCAGGACACTGAGTCCCACACAAGTCATTTAGGGAAGGAAGGTTCAACTGGTCCTTTGTCTGACTAGAACTTACTCTGACTTCTGCTAATACATTTCAGGGATCTCACAAACTAGGCACAGCAAGCTTAAGAAGTTTGTCCACAGGCACAATCTGTAAACAGAAAAGCCAGGACTCAAACCCAGGTCTGTCTTGTTCCCAAAGGCCACGTGCTAACCAGCCTCACACACTGCAGAAGCTGAAGGATGGCCTATTTTTTTTTTTTTTTTACAAAATGCAAAGTAACCAAGGGAACTTTGAACATCCAAAGAGACAGAACCTGTTTACAACTCTAACACCCAGAAGCGCAGGTGAAGGTATTGCCGCTCATCAACACGAAGAAACGTCCGGCCAACTTACCATCACTTTCAGATTGCCTTTCACGTCAAAGGATTTGATGACCCAGTTGACAGACTTCTGGCATTTCAGGATCAGGATGAGGTTTCTGAGCACCTCGGGGTTCTCCCGAGCAGGTCTGATGTCAATGATTATGTCCACCTGGAAAGCACTGCGAATGGAAAACAAAGGCAAAGTTGGGCCCAAATGCCAGAAAGTTGTAACTCTTCCTTCTTCCAAGTCTTCGTGTTTCTAGTGTCTGGCCAGTTGATTAAAAAGCTGGAGTGGATCCCAGGCAAATGACATGTGCAAAACAGATTGTTATTGCACATATAACAAAACAGTTTTACATAACAGGCCTGCTGATAATTAGCTATTCCAGTTTTTCTCTTTTGGGGGTGGGAGGGGCAGGGCCAAAGATGATTACTCAAAGGAGTTACTGTAGGACGTAGACCTGCACAAACTAGATTTTGGGTTTTTTAATTAATTAATTAATTTATTTATTTATTATTTGTGTGAGTGTGTGAGTGCATGCTAGTACTGGGACTTGAACTCAGGTACTGGGGCCTCTTGAACTCAGAGCCTAGGTGCTATCCCTTTGCTTTTTCATTCCACACTTGTGTTCTACCACTTGAGCCACAGCTCCACTTCCAGATTTTGGTTGGTTAACTGAAGATAACGAGTCTCCTGTACTTTCCTGCCCAGGTGATCCTCAGATCTCAGCCTCCTCAGGAGCTAGAATTACAGGTGTGAGTCATGGGTGCCTAGCAGCAATTTGATTTTGCAATAGAATTATTTTTTTCCAACCTTCAGCACTTTCAAAGTGCAATTTTCAAATGTGCTATATGCTCAAAGTCCTTCAGAACCAGAAGCAGGAAGCAGTTTAGTAAGGGGGCAGCTGGCAGCAGAGAAGAGGGGAAGGGGCAGGGTGATAAAAACCTATGAGGAAATTTCAGAATAAAATAAAAGGCAAAGGGCTGGGGATTTCTTGACTTGTGTAAAGTTTGCTTAAACCATTAACAATGGTTATACAACCTTCTCTTCATTTACGTTCCAAAACTCCTGGATATATAGTTATTAAAATAAAGAAAACAGATGGTCCACTAAGTGATTGCTAGAAAACTGATGAAACCCGAACTTCTAAGAATTCAATATAAAGGAGAATTAAAAAAAATAACTAAACGATAATCTCTCTGTCATTCTGAGCTTAAGGAAGTGTCTGTATTGATGTGTTGGTTTTATACACTATTTTTACACACGTGTAAAGCTGCAGCCAAGTGTGGACTCAGATGACACGGGTGGCTGACACAGTATCCCAGCTTCTAGTGCCATTACTTTTAAATTTTCCACAAAATTCTTCAGGGAAAACAGAATGGAATCTTACCACAAACGATTGCAATTTATTCAGTTTTGCAATTGAAACTGGATTATTATTTGAACTTTGAAATCCCTTTACAATAAAATGTTTAAATTTTAAGTCACTAGTCCACACAATATAGAGGTTCAGGTCTAAGAATCAGCTTCCTGTAAAACCCCACCCCCCTTACACCTTTTCTTTTTTGGTGGCACTGGAATTTGAATACAGGGCTTTCTGCTTGCTGGGCAGATGCTCTAATGCTTCAGCTATATTTGCTGTTTTCTCTGATTATATTTCTTTTGGAATAGGTTCTTGCTTTTTGCCTAGGCCAACCTGAATTGTGAAACTATTTATACTTCCTTATTTAGCCAGGGAAGACAAGTGTGTACCATGCCATAGCTACTTCTTCTTGTTAAGATGAGGTCTCCCAATTTTTTTTATTTTTTTTGCGGGGCTTGAACTCATTTCCTAGGTGCTATCCCTGAGCCTCTTTGTGCTCAAGGCTAGCACTCTACCACTTAAGCTACAGCATCACTTCTGAGTTTTGAGTAGTTAACTGGAGTTAAGAGTCTCATGGGGACTTTTCTGTCTTTGCTGGCTTTTAACCACAATCCTCAGATCTGAGCCTCCTGAGTAGCTAGGATGACAGGCTTGAGCCGCCATACCCAGCTCTTTCTCTTTCTTCTTTTAAAAAAGTTTGTAATTAATCTTAATAGGAAAGGTAAACTTCCTGGGGCAGGAAGCTGAGAGAGAAAACAAACACACACACACAACAAGAGACAAATTCTATCTGTTGGCTCATTGGTATATCATCACAAAGAGCCATTCCTCAACACACACACACACACACACACACACACACACACACACACACACACACACACACACACACACACACACACACACACACACACATCTTTAAAGGAAACAGTTCTAAGTATGTAACTGTTCTGAGAACACTATAAACAGAACTTTATTAAAAAGAGAATTGCTCCAAGATGAGGATAAGTGTAATAAGTCATGCACTGTCATAGTCTCAATAGGAATTGTGACTGCTTCCTGCAACAAATACTAACTTTGGAACAGATGAGATCTTCAGAAAGACATGGTATCTAAAGACTGATACAGATAAGACTTCAGCATGGATTCTTCCTCCTCCTTGGCACCACCCCCCTTTCTTCCTGCAAGTGTGGGAGGGGCAGACCTCTCCCCCACTGAAGTCTGGAAAGATCTCTGTGTCATCTCTTCTCAGATCAGGAAACACTCCCACATGTGATGTCTCACCTGTAAGGGTTGGAGTTGGGAGTGATTAACTCGATGATGTGCACTTCTGTATCCTGGGGCTGGCCAGACATCACACATCCTTCGGCTGCTTTGGGCTGGAGATATTCAGCCAGGTAGTTGAGTGACAGAAAATTCTTCCCTATGTTGCACATGGGAGGAAACACTTGATCTGAAAGGAAGCAAGCACAGGGTGTGAGGTCAAACCATTGAGCTAGTTGTAATCACATACACAGCAACACACGGAGTCCGTGATTAGTCCTATCCCCAACTATCTTCCTCCTTTGTAGTCACCATTTCAGTCACCTCTCTGGTCCACACACGTAGCATAAGCATCTTTCCAGTGGTCTACCACTTGGCCACTTCTGGTGCTTTTGGTTAATTGGAGATAAGAGTATCATAGACATTTTTGCCCAGGCTAGCTTTGAACTGCAATCCTCAGATCTCAGCCTCCTCAGTAGCCAGGAGTACAGGTGTGAGCTACCAGTGCCTAGCTCTCCTCCCAGAGAATATTTATATATCTTGAAGACTGATCTGAGGGAAACAGGGAGGGAGCAGACAGACTTCCACTTGATTTCATAGTCTTGATCCAGACAACTAATATCTCTAGGGCACTCTGTTCTGTTTTACGAACATCATAAAACGCTGAGGGCTGTTCCCCTCCACACAGGGAAGTGAAGCCCGTCCTGGGAATCTGAAGGCACTCCCCCAACGACACACACCACTCACACAGGCACCCCACGTGATGGGCTCTCTCTCCATCTTAAATATTTAAACAGCACTGGAAAGCAAGTGCTGGCAGCGTGGCAGCCGGGACCAGCGTCAAGGAAGTCCTAGGTGTAGCATGAGAGGCAATTAATCAGAGTCCTGGCACTTGAATGAAACACGTTTCTGCCGTGTTCATGCATAAGGATGGAATGTGGAGGCTCACGTCTACAGGCAGGTCTTAATTGAGAGTAAGGGATCAGCTTGTGCAATCTTCCTTTGGTGAAGTCTGCAGCCCACTTTGGGGCAACATGGCTGCAACCACCAAGGCAGCCCAGGAGCCATCTTGGAACAGAGCAGTTCTGAGGTTCTTGCGAGCAGGCTCACCAGAGAGAGGCTCTGAGTTCTAGCAGGCTCTGCACTCTACATCCTTTCCAAAAAAAAAAAGCCCTCACCAAGAACATGGGCCAGGACTTCATGGCTTGCTTCCTCTACATCTGCTGAAGCTGTTACCAGATGTACAGACGAGGCCTGCCTACCTCACAGCTGCGGCCCTGTGATGCCTCCCCCAGGTCACAAGATGGAAAAATGATATTGGGACGGCAGAGCTGAGATTTAATGGAAAACCAGGAGACAGGCGCATGGGCCAGAGAAACTGAGAGACCAGAATCCTCCTGGGATCAGGGCCTGTACTCCCAACCCAGGTGTGCCTGGCGTGTAGGTGCCGTGTAATGGGCTCATGGTTAAATAAGGTTCCTGGACTTGCAAATGACGAGTCGTGATTTGAGGCAAATACTACAGAATTCGTCCATACTGGTGAGCCACTAGGAAAGGGTTAATGGTTCAAATGTTGCTATTATTAAGGACTCTAGCCAAGATGTCACTGTCACTGAGTTGTATAAGCTGATCACGTTTTTGTAAAGGGTAGGTTTCTTTTGTTCCAAGAATGAATTTTCTCTACACTTGATACAATTTACACCAAGGCCAAGTATGATAGAGCATACCTGTAACCCCAGCAACTGCGCGGCAGAAGCAAGAAGATCTGAAGTTTGAAGTCAGTCTACAGAGTGAGAATCTTTCTAAAAAGGGGTGAGTGTGGCGAAGGATGTTGGTCAGTGGTGGACCACTTGTGTAGCACTCAGAAGACCCTGGGTTCAATCCCTAACACCCAAAACAAAAACTTATACCAAGTGCCAAGTAGAAAGAAAACAAAAAGAGACCCCTGGGTAGAAACCTAGCAAGCTGGTAGGATGGGATGGAGTAGAGTCACATGATAGATTGGCATTGTAGGAAAAGATTGGCAAAGGAGCCTAAAGGAAATACTCCTGAGAGCAGGAATGAGCTGGGGAGGGAATATCAAATGTCCCATTTTTCTGGGCTCTCGACGGAGGCTCTGGTGGTAATGCCACGAGGCCCACAGTTCTGGAAACCAGGGGGTAGAACTGACATTCCCCATTCTTCCACTCTACCTAGCCAGGCTCAAGCCATTCCCAAGCAGGTGTGTGCCCCCTGATCACCAGCAGGACACAGGAAGACACCTACTGCTGACCCCATCCTCGAGTTTCCCACTCAAGAGGGTCTGGGGTGAGCACGTGGCATGACATCTCTAACACACGCTCAGGTGACACTGAACTTATTAGGGCAGAAACCACACTTGGGGAACCATTGGGGTTTGGGCAAGAGGAAGTTCAAGGTCTGGGCCCCCAGATAAAGAAGACACACAGATTCTAGGAGGTCAGTGAATAAAGCTGACTCAGCGGAGTTGGACCCAATGTGAAGATCAATGCACAGCATCACCTGTGATCCACCCACCTACCTGGGAAGTCTGCCTTGCTTTCCCCAATTGTTTTCCCCGTGGTGTGGGCCAGTAGCTTACGGCCAACTAATGGCAGTCAAGTTTCAGAGGCTTCATAGCTGTGAGATCAAGGAATTACCTAATTTTCACTAGACTGGACACCAAGTCTTTTAAGTTCCTTTCCTGTACCCAGTGGGAGCTCAACCACTTAAGTGACTTAACCCCTTTTTTACTGGGCAGGTGACTGTTGTGCAGAGAAACATACAAACTGCAAAGGGAATGGGGGCCCGACCTTCCAAATGTTGCTATCCCAAATATTCTTACTCTAATCCCAAGGACTACTGGATATTCCTTTGTGCTACTAGAATTCTGATTCAGACATGCAGAGTATGGTCTAAGGGCTTACATTAGGTGTATCTCTCTGTAGGACAAGGAAAGCAAAATGGGCAATCTCTTAGCAAAGCCTTTTCTCCAACAACCTGTCCTTATAATAGGCACTAGTAGTGAAAATATATTTGTAGCTGGGAAGTGGTGGCTCACACCTACAATTCAAGCTACTTAGAAGGCTGAGATCTGAGGATCCTAGTTTAAAGCCAGCCCGGGCAGAAAAGTCTATGGAGACTCTCATCTCCAATAAACCAGCCAACAGCCAGAAGTGGAGGAAGTATGGCTCAAATGGTAGGTAGAACACCAGCCATGAGTAAAAAAGTCAAAATGAAAACTTGAGGCCCTGAGTATCAAGCCCCAGTACTAGCACCAAAATAAACAAAAATGAAAATGTAAGTTAGGCACTGGTGGCTCATGCCTGTCATCCTACCTACTGAGGAAAGTGCTTTGAAGCCAACCTGGGCAGGAAAGCCTGTGAGATTTATCTCTAATAAACTACTCACAGAGAGTCAGAAGTGCTGCTATGGCTCAAGTGATAGAGCACTGGTCTTGAGCACAAAGAGGCTCAGGGACAACCTACAACCAACATACACAGAAATCTGCTAGAGTTTGAAATTTAACTAATAACTCCACATTATAAACAAACAGTGGCTTTCAATGTCTGCAGAATCATAGTAAGAAAAAGCCTTCCCCACCCTTGAGTCCTACCAACTCCTCCCTCAATGTACCCGTCATCACTGTCATTCCCACGTGCCTTGCTGCTCGCCCTGCCCTGACTTCTTCTGATTTCCAAGCTCCCAACGACCTCCCTGTTCCTGGCTCACATGACTCCCTATCTCTCACGGGGTCACTGCCAGGCCCGTTCCTAAAGAAGGAAACAGGAAGGAGAGGGAGATGTGAGGGGCATCTTCCCACCCCAACTCCCCATCTCTGTCAGCTCCAACATTCTAGAACCCTACGATTCCTTGCTCTAACTACCTGGTCTCAGAAAAGTAAACATCTGACCATCATAAATCAGTCATTAACTGAATGCACTGAAAATTTACCTTCCCCCACTTTAATATAAATGTTTCTTGCGACTTTGAGCTCGGTGAAGGAAGTGACAGCCCCGTACTCCTTCCGCGCCCAGGTTAGCAGGTGTTCATTGTCATAGGGGAAGTTTCTTTCTTCTGTCTCTGCCGTCAAGGAGAAGTTTCCTGATGAAAACTGGACCACAGAACCCTCGGACACCTGGGGGAGAAATAACTGCATATTCACTACGGAGCCACCTGGAGTAGAGTCCTAATTACAGAAAGCACTTACCAGACCAATACTACCGGGCCTTCAGCAATACTTCATCTGCCTCTTCCCACTGCGATACAGGCAGATGATGAGTTTTTCAAAGCAGCAATTCAAGAAACAATCCTAGCTGCGTAACTCTCACCTGTATCTTAGCTATTCAAGAGCCTGAGATCAAGAGGATTGCTGTGCGAAGATGGCCTATACAGAAAAGTCCATGAGACCAGAATAAAAAGAAAGCAGGGCTAGAGGCATGGCTCAAGTGGTAAAGCCTCAGCTGAGTAAGTACAGGGACTTAAATTCAAATCCCAGTACCAATTTGCAAATAATCAGAAACATCACTGCTATTTTCCATATATTGACATTAAAGGCTGACTGTTCAAGAACTATTGGCCTTCCATCTATGTTGATGTTGCATCTGTGGATTCAACCCACTACAAATCAAAGCTATGTGGGAAAAAAAAAAACTGCACCTATTCATGTACACACTTCCTTTCCCTTCTCATCATATAACACTATGCAACATCATTTACGTGGCTTTTACACTGTACTAGATATTTAACATAATCTAAAAACTGGGCACCAGTGGCTTATACCTATAACACTAACTACTCAGGAAGATGAGATCTGACATTCCAGGTTTGAAGCCAGCCTAGGCAGGAAAAGTCTATGAGACTTTTTATCATCAAAAAGCTGGACACGGATGTATATGTATGACTGAAGTGGTGGAGCACTAGCCTTGAGAGAAAAAGCTAAGAGACAGCACCTAGGCCCTGAGTTCAACCCCACCTCCCCCCAAACACATAATCTAGAGATGAGATGATTTCAAATATACAGGAAGATGTATATAGCTTTATGCAAATATTATATAAGGGACTTAAGCATCTATGGATTTTGGTACCTAGGGCTGGGGATGGGGAGAGAGACTGGATCCATCCAATCTTGGTAGGCTTGGTACTTCTGTGAATACCAGGAATCAATTAGCTATAATATATCTTGAGTCAAGTGGAAAGCGTTGGTAAGTACATTCATGATGGGAGCAATGGATACTAATGTTCCGCAATCAACCAAACACAACTTCCAGACTTCACTGCTACACCTGCTGATGGACTCAGCACAACAGGGGCACAGTCATAGTCCTTTTGGTTTATGTTCTTTGGAGCACTGAGATGAAGGGAATGGGCAAAAATGTTGTCCACCTTCTATGACACTCCTCAAGCTTCATCGCAGTGAGATGAGTGTGTAGGACAGCTCATGTAGTAAGACTCCCCAATTCCCACAGGTGATGATGTCACGAGTCAGCTGATCCTAATGAAACGCGCAGGATGATCTGTGTAAGTGCCATGTTTCTAATGGATATATCAGACCATCACCAACTTACCACAGCTTGGTATACAAATAACTAACACATACCAAGGAGGAAAGTCACCTTGTTGCTCTACTATAATCAAACTTAGTTGCTGGTAAAAATATGCATGCCATTGACTAGTATTTAGGAAATAACAGATTTTTATCAACATCAAAGGGGAAAACTCCAAGAAGGTTCCCAAGGCACAGAACTTGAAAGATGTTGCATTAAACTTCACATTACTATCTAGCCATCACAAAAAAGCAAGTCGCTTCTCAAAGGATCAGAAGCAACCAGAGGACAATGCAAGTGGAGGGCAGGGATTTTACTGATGGTTCTATCAATTCCAGCAATATTTTCAACCCGACCCTGCATTCCAGCTGGAACTTACCCAACTACCAAGCTGGGAATTCATATCTTCTGTTCAATTATGCATACATATTTTATTTGCTTTATGAGAGGGACACTACAGAATTCAGGCTGGCCTCTAATTCATGATCTTCCTTCCTCAGCCTCCTGAGTGCTGAAATTATGGATGGGTACCACCATGTTCAATCTAGGTATTGTTAAGTGTGGGAAAATGAATTCCTCTACTGAATGAATTCCATGATCTACTATCACTGTGGTTTCTATCTTGGCTAAAGAGCTTCTAAAGAAAAGCTTCTAAATCTCCTGATAGCCAAGGCCACATCTCAGACCAGTGAAAACCATTATGATAAGGTGCAGGCATTCGAATATGAGCATTCTCTTGGGGGTGATTCCAGTGTTTGGCCATGTTTAAGAGTGGCTGTCTTACTGAGCACTGAGACAGTCCCTGGGGAGACAGGCATTGATTTAGTACAGGCCTGGTACGGGCACACCTTACAGCTGACTTTACCCCACTGGTTCTTGACTAGAGGCAATTCTGTCCCCCTAAGAGACATTTGACAATGCCAATCAGAAAGCTTTCTTGCGTGTGTATGTGTGTGTGTGTGCCAGTTCTGGGGCTCAAACTCAGGGCCTAGACATTGTCTCTGAGCTTGTTGCTTATAGCACTCTACCACTTGAGCCACAGCTCTACTTCCAACCCTTCTGATAGATTAGTAGAGCAAAGAGTATCAGGGACTTTCCTGCCCGGGCTGGCTTTGAACCGTGATCCTCAGATCTCAGCCTCCTGAGTAGCTAGGATTATAAGCATGAGCCACCAGCACCATGCAAGGAAATATTTCTTATTGTAATAAGCAAGAGGGGGAGGAGCTACCACCATCTATGGAGGCCAGAGTTGTGGCCATACAGGCATCCTACATTGCACAGGGCAGCTCCAGCCATAACGGATCCCCAACATGTCCCCGGCATAGAGCCTGAGAAATCGTATCCTGTACCCTAGCAGCTCACACCAAGGAGGGGGTGGCAGAGATGACCATGTAACAGCTATTACTGCCACTCAGGGGGCCTCTGCGGGCTTCCAGTCATGATTCCCCAAATCATCAGCCTTTCCTAAACACGCATCAGGCTGTTTATTTTCTCATGAATAAGTCCTTTCTGTTCTGCACTGCTTTGGAAAGGCCAAAGCTAATCACAAATGAAGTGATCACAAAAGCAACCATCCCAAAAGCAATTGCCCACCGACTGTGCATTAGGCACCATGAAGTGTTTCCATGCTGGTTATACCCAAAACCAGAAAGGAGGGGATGGGAGGGGAAGGGAGGGGAAGGAAAGGGGGCAGAGGGGAGGGAAAGGAAGGGAAGAAAAAAAGAGAAAAGGGAAAAGGGAAGGGGAGGGGAAGGGAAGAAAGGGAGAAGGGAGAAGGGAGAAGGGAGAAGAGAAGAGAAGAGAAGAGAAGAGAAGAGAAGAGAAGAGAAGAGAAGAGAAGAGAAGAGAAGAGAAGAGAAGAGAAGAGAGGTTTTTTATTTTTTATTAAACCTGTCACTGGAAGAAAACAGCCTACAGCTGGCAGAGGCCTTTGCCCCACTGACAGCACAGGGCCTGGGGAGTGACAAGGATCTGCAATGTTCTATTGCTTGCGTCCTCACTGACGTTATAGATGCAAATATGTTATAGAAATAGTACAATTTGTTTTTTGAAGAGCAAAAGGAAGAACATATCCCATTTTGGGAACTCCAGAGACAGGAAAACAGATAGCATAAGATAAAGAAGATAGCGTACAGGAGAAGAAATGAAGAGTGACTTCAGAGTATGGCCCGAGGTAATTAAAAAGTGACCCATTAACACTGAGCCCCTGCCCCCACCTGTCCCAGCGCCCCTGCCCTGCTCTGCCCTGTACTACCCTTCCCTGCCCCAGCCCGCATATGCATATGAGTGCTTCCCTCCAGGCAGCCTCTAGAGGAATTTGGGAACAGAATTCCAGCCACTGCTAAGGCATTCCACTAAGAAGAGAGCAGAGCTGCCAGGGGAGGGGGGGGGGGGGGGCGGGGAAGTGAGGTGTCCCTGACTGCAGGTCAGTGGAAATTTCCTGCCACAGGAAGACTTAGTCAGCAAGCTCTGTCCCAACTGCAGCTCTCTGAGCTCAGCGAAGCCTCCCCTGCCCCCCTGGGCTGTTGGAAGGGATTGTTCAGGACCACTGAGATATACTACTAGGCAGAAAGGAAGCAAGTTCACAGAGGCTAACAACCTGCCACAAGGTTACAGAGTGTGCACCAGGCCAAGTCCAGAGCATGAAGCTTTCTCTGACTCATAGTCTCTTTGAATCCTAGAAAAAAAAAGATGTCACTAGTTTGCAAGACAAGAGTACTTGCCTCTTTCTCTCCATCCACTGGTATTGGGGCTTGAACTTGGTGCCTTGTGCCTCATCAGGCTTGTTCTCTTATGGCTGGTCCTTTACCACTTGAGCCATGCTTCCAGTTTGGTTTTGTGTGGCAAATTGGAAATGGAGTCTCTTGGATTTTTCTGCCCGGGCTGACTTTGAACTGAGATGCTCAGATCTCAGCCTCTTGAGCAACTAGGATTACAGGTGTGAGCCACTGGTGCCCAATGTAGATTTCTTTTTCTTCTGTCCACAAGTCTGAGCCATGCCTCATAGATTTGTTCCTCATTCTTCCCACAAGCTGCCCACGAGTCTTTTCCACATCTGCAATTCATCCCTTTCCACCTTTGAGCTGTTCCCGTTGGTTAGCACACCTGTCACCTTCACTTGCCAAAGACCAACAACAGCAGAGGGCCCAGAAAGCTCCTCACCTGGTCTGAACCTCTTCACTCAGCACTGCTGCTGAATGAAGTTCAGTGTTGTTCCTTACTAGAAAAGCCAGGCTAGAACATCCTCATTCCTGTTCGCCAAACTCTCAGCTTCCCTACATGCCCAGGAAATGAGCTTTCCAACAGGCTTTAAAGCTAACCTTTTGAAACCAGGTGCCCATAGCTCATGCCTGTAAACCTAGCTATTCAGGAAGCATCTGAGGATTGAGGTTCAAATCCAACCAAAGCAGGAAAGTCTGCAAGACTCTTATCTCTAATTAACCATCAGAAAATCAGAACTAGAGCCTTGGATCAAGTGATAGAACACTAGTCTTTAGCTGAGGAATGGCATCCACACTCTAGTTCAAGCACCAGCTCCAGTACATGCATGAGTATGCATGCAAACACACATATAGACACACGCACACACACA